TTGCCGGATGCACTCCCTCCCTCCCTCCCTCTGCGCCTTTTCATAAGGCTCAGGGAGCAGGAGAAGCAGAGGCGGGCAAGGCGCATGCTCAGTTTCCCTTCTGAAGTTCGGAGACTGCCAGTAGTCCGCTGCCTGCAGAGGGAGCCCCCTAGTGGTCCTTGCCTGACACGGCAGGTCATCTTGCAAGCCATAGGAAAAAGAGATGCATTTTTCAACGGGAGAAAAAGCGCAAGGCATGTTTGCCTTCTGTTCACAACAATTCAACCCGGATAAAATCTGAGGGGTGTGGGGAGTGGATTATGGAACCCAAAGGGAGCATCTCAGCTCGGCTCAGGGGCTGGAGGCAGCCCGCCCAGGGCTTCCTTGCTCGGAAGGGAGCAGGAAAGACACTTTGCAAGCTCCTCCTTTCCACGCATCCAATACTGGACCTACTTTTGCTCGTGAGGAAGGGCAAACGGCAACTGACACCATAATCTCTATGTCTGCAAGAGCAAAGTGCAGTGTAGGGGTTAAAGACAGAGAGGTGTTAAGTCCTAGAGTGGAGAGGAGGACTGGCTTCCTGCCTTCCTTTGAAAACATCCTCCCACGTGGAAGCCTCTCCTCCCCCCCGGAACTACTATGGGCAATGTCCTCTCGCGCATGCTCCGTTTGTTCTCTGAAGCTGCCGAGATCGCCCAGCATAATCTTCCGGGGATTCTGCGCGCGATGCTCGGAGGCTCCCCGGCGGGGGGGTGGGAGAGGAGGCTCCGCGGGTGGATCGTGCGATGCCAAGCGGGATGGCTTTGTACCCCTGCAGGGAGGCGGGGCTGGGAGGACTCGGCCCTTCTCCTTTCCCCGCCCCGAACGCCTCGCCCGAAGACCCGTTGAGCACCTCCGGGCCTTTGCGAATAGGTACCGCCGGTGGTTTTCGGGCGGTCCTAGAGGCTGCGGGGGGAGGCGGGGCTAAAAGGGCCTTTTCTTGGTTCCTCTCTTTGGCAGAGCGCGGGGGGAGAGTCTCATTTGGCTGGAAAGTCCCGAAGGCGGTGCGAAAAGGCACTGGGTGCCCCTCCCCGTGGGAAAGGAGCGGTGGATTTTCCCACGCCTGGCACAGCCGCTGCGGGCGGTAGACTGTACCACGGGGGAGGGGGAGAGCACATGGCGTTAGCAGGGAATCCTGGGTGCTGTAGTCCAGCACATGTGTGGGAGCTTGGAGGTCTGGGGTTACTCCAGTTTCACACACACGCTCACACATGCACATACATACACACAGCTACCACAAATTGTACAGTAGAATTATAATGACTAATAACCCTAGCTGGGGTGTCACTCTTCCACATCTCCAGGAGCCCGAATGGTTCTACTCCTAGCCAGTGCCCCCTAGTGGCAAGGGGGTGAAAGTTGTTACCCAACCACATCTGGAAGGCCCCAGGACCCCCAACCCTGCTGTTCAATAAAGGAGGGCTTGGCCGGGGGGGGGGG